ATGACAAAAAATACTCAACATCCTTGGTCATTAGGGAAAAGATGTCAGAACTGACAGGGATTTACTTTTGTGCCAAGCCCAGAGCTTGGAGCTGCAAAACACAGGGTTTCTGCCCTTAGAGGGGGCTCACCACGGAGTTGTGTAATTGGTAAAGGCTATATACATGCAGGTAAGTTTATCATTGAGAGTCAAATCAGCGTAGTAGATCATAAAGGCTAAGTCTTAGAGTCTATAGACTGAATATATGTATCCACCCAAGATTCCTATGTCAAAGCCCTAGCTCTCAGTGTGGCTGCATTTGGAGTGAAGAAATGATTGAGGTTAAATGAGATCATAAGGGTAGGGCCCTGATTTGATAGGATTAGCGTCCTTATCAGAGAGCTTTCTCTCCCTCTCTGTGGGCATGTACCTAGGAAAGACCATGTGGGGACATAGTGAGAAGGTCGCCATCTTCAGGTTAGGGAGAGAGCTCTCCTTGACCTCAGACTTCCTGCCTCCAGGACTGTGAGAAAAGAAATTTGTTTTTTGACCTACCCAGTCTATGTTTCATTATGGCAGCCTGAGCAGACGAATAAGGAGCTTTTTGTACTAACATGTTGGGCAACTGGCCGAGCCCTTCACACTGTGCCACGCACAAGGTAGATGATAGTTAAGGAAAAAGGAGAACAGAGTGGATGGCAATTTCCCCCAGGCCACACCACTGGCGAGCAGCAGCACTGTGCTCTGTGAGAAGGCAGGCTAGCTGTACAGCGTGTGCGCCTGAACACTATGCTCGGTGCTGGAATGGAGGTGACAAGTCTGTGAGCCCCCATGTACATGGATTTGTCTGCTGCCAGCCTGGCACTTGCATGTGCTCTGTAAACATTGGAGGAAGGATAGAGAAATGTCCAGGCCTAGGTAGTGACAATAGGGAGCTCCAGGGCCACCAGGGCCTCTGGCTCCCCCATAGCACAGTCTCCATACTCTCACCCAACATTCTGGGGGTTCTTATAACCCCAACTCAGGACTTTTCGGTGCTATGGGGAATTCAGGTACATGGAGTGTATGTACCTAATTCTGGCTGGCTCTTTTGGTGACACTCCATGGGATACTCACTTTTGGTTATACTCATGGGAAGCCATCTCCCTGTACATCTGAGGATGCCATGGCCCCAGGAGCCTCAGGATCAACACAGTCAGCTGGCCAAGAGACCCAGTCAGAGCATGCATTCTGAGGTTTTCATAGGACCACACAGCTAGCTAGCCACTAGTAAAGCTGGGCCTAAAATCCAGAACTCACCCCATCCTGAGACTCTTCTCAGGCCATGGCTTGGGGAGGAAGATGGCTGCCTGACACTCTGACTCCACCAAGCCTGCAGGGTTCACGGTGTCTGCAGGGACTGTTGACTCTGTGACAGTTGCTTCCTGAGGCTGGAGCACCAAGAGGGTTGGGTAGGGAAGAGCCTGCCTGTAGCTGTTTCCTGGGCTCAACAGAGACATTGGTAAGGAGTGGCCTTTCAGTTTTGGAAGGTGGGGTGGACCAGAGATATGTACATTCTGACCCTAGCAGACAACTCAGCACACCATAGGCAAGTAACTCTGTTTATGGAGTAGAGTTTAACTGAGCACCTACCTGCTCTGGCCCAGGCGCTATGCTGGGTGCTGGGTACTGATTCCACTTGTAGTCATACAGGCACTGGCCCTTCTCTGTGGTCTAGCAGGGGGTCAAATATTCTACACACAAACATTTACAAATGTGATGAGGTCATGAAGGGGCCAAGGGCCCTGAGAGCATCAAGACAAAAAGGCCTGGCTTGATCTGGGGGAGGGAGTGGGGCTGGTCAGGCAAGGATTCCCAGAGGTGACGTAGATCCCAAGTCTAAGGAGGTGGGGTGCAGGTGGTAGGGATGGGTGGGGTGAACAGAAGTAGGAGACAGCATCTCCCACAGGGGTTCTGGAGCCATGAAGTTGCAGCATTTAAGACATGAGAAGCAGATCCTGTGGCAGGAGCACAAACCCAAGGCTGGCAGGGCTCATTTTGAGGGCCAATAGTGCAGAGCGCTGGTAAACAGAGGATTAGCTTTGCATTTGTTTGTTTAAGATTTTATTTATTCATTTGAGAGGGAATAAGAGTGTAAGAGTGAGCAAGAGTGATTGTGCGTGTGTGTGTTTGTGTGTGTGTGTGTGTGTGTGTGTGTGTGAGAGAGAGAGAGAGAGAGAGAGAGAGAGAGATAGCAAGCACAAGACGGCGGGGGGCCGGGCAGAGGGAGAAGGAGAAGTAGATTCTCCACCAAACAGGGAGCCCCACGTGGGGACCTAAGCTAAAGGCAGACACTTAACTGACTGAGCCACCCAGGTGCCCTTTGGCTATGCATTTGTAGAAGTTCCTGCTAGCTGTGGCACAGAGCACAGACTCTGAGGGGCAGGACAGGCTGAGTGCTGGTGAGGAGACTCTTGGGAGCTTGAGTGGGGCAGGTGGGGTGCTAGATGGGCCTGAGGGCAGCAGCAGCAGCACTTACCACTGCTCTGAGCACCATGGCACACCTGCCCATGTGCTCTGGGTTTGGGGTGTGTGAGTCTGTCAATGACATGTGTGCCAACTGTTTATGACAATGCCCAGGGGCCTCCCTGGTGTCACACCCCTACCCTGGACCCGCCCCGTATGCGCTGCCGTCTACTTCTCATCAAGCAAGCAGCTCCGGAAATCTACCTTCCCTCTCCCCAACACCCAGGGAGCCTTCCAGATTGATCAGAACCAAACTGACAGCTTTACCCCGCCCTTGGTCTGCCCCTGCCGCCCCGCAACATGGTTACCCTTGACACAGACACAGCAGTGGTCACACTTGACAGTGTTTTTCTGCCTGACTTAGTGGCTTCATCCCCACGGCTCAGTGGCTTATACAGTGCCGGTCCTACTGGGGCTCTCGTGGGGCTGGGACCTCATCCATCCTTACAGAGGTACCCTGGTCCCCACCCCAAGCAGCAGGCCCTGGGTGCTTATGGAAAGCCCCCACCGGGGCAGGGCTGCCTCTGCCACTGACAGCAATTCCCACCTTGAGAGAAGTCAGCCTTCAACTTCCACCCATGTCCTGCTTTTGCAACTCTGCAGCTCTTTCTCTTGGATACGAGGAAAGAGCCTTGTGCTGGCAATCACCTAACCTTAGCAAGCTCTGCCAGGAGAATTTATAGAACTGTTTAGAATTTATAGAACTAACTTGGGGGAGGAGGTGGACAGGAGATCTTAGAGGCCATCTGGTTCTTCTGTATAGCCCTGCAGAATAAGGGAGTTGTTTGAGATCACACAGCCAGCCAGGAGAGGGGCCAGGCCAGGAACCAGGCTTTTCTGTCAAGGGTCCGTGTTCTTCTGCCAGGAGCTGAGGCCTGGCATGCCTCTGGCTTGAGAAGGATCCTCGAGTGATTAAGACCCCAGGCCCTCCTTGCTGCGCTCCTGGGGAATCCCAGGCAGACTGGGCTCCTGACCCTTGGGATGTCAGAGTCACAGAGAATTAGACTGGCCCCACACCAGCTATTCTCCCTCTTGAGCTGGGTGGTGGCTGGTGGTGATGCATTTCCTATCTTCCCCACTCTTTCTTGCAGAGGTGAAGCCTGATTCTCCTTTCCCTGCCCAGCTTGAAAACTTCTAGGACTTGGAGCCCATGGATATGCTCTGGGCATGCTTCAGAGGGTGACACTGGAGCAGTCTTCTCGCCCACTCACCCCTGTGGCTGGCAAGGCCCAGGAGTCAGTGCAGGGTACGGAACAGTTGCTCTGTCAGCACCTTGGCCTCATCTGCCAGCAGGCTGAGTGACCCCGGCATGGCGTCTGAGTCCATGGCTAGCTAAGGCTGGTCCTTTCCCGGTTTTCTTGGATTCACTGCCCATCTATGTACACAGTTCAGAGCCTGGCCTCAGACCATGGCTCCCCATGATCTTCCTGGTGGGGAAGCCCAGATGGAGCACATGGGCCCACATCCTCATTAGACCAGTTAAAAGCACACATTCTGGTTCAGACTGCCTGAGTTTGCACCTGCTCCACAGCAGTGGGACCTTGGGCTTCACTGTTAGTTCCTCCCTCTGAATGTCAGTTTTTCTCATCTGTAGAATGAGGACAGTAATGGAATCTATATTACTTGGGGGGTCCCACCAAGAAACGGGATGCCCTCACAGGGGCAAGACAAAGACCAAATGAGTTCACATGGAGACAGTGGTCAGAACAGTACAGGCACAGGGCAAGCATTATCAGCTTACAGAGGTGCCCAGGGCTGCCCTTCTCCATGCTTCTGGGCACAAGCAGAGTGCAGGTGAGGGTGGAGTCTTAGAGGGATAACCTTGGACCCACTCTGATTCAGGGATGGCAAGGACGAGACCACCGGCCCAACGTATGCTGTTTCACTCTTGGTCACAGAGGTCCTGTGTCCCACCAGCAGAAGCAACGGCAGCACAGGGCAATGGCCCTGCCCTCCTAGTGTTTGGGGAGACCAGATACGTAGCAGAGGTGTGGGATGGGGACTATGGAGCAGGGAAGAAAGATCTGAAGCAGTCCCTGGAAAGTGAGAGTGTGGCTCTTGCTTCCCATGAGGACAGGAGAGACGTGTGCAAGTCGAAGAAAACCCCTGGTCTGGAAAGCAGCTCTGCCATGACCTGTGATGTGATCTTACACCAGCCTCTCCTCCCACTGCGCCTCTGTCTCCCTTTCTGTAAAAGCAAGGACCTGAGCAAGAACGCAGGTCCCAGGGAATGGTTACATAACTTAATCAGATGACTCAAAAAAGGATTGAGAAACTCTGGACAAGACGCACATCAACAAGAGTCCTTTCTGCAGGGTGCAGAATGTCTTTGACACTGGACTGTACGCTGTGCTTTCCCAAGAGGAGATGTAGTCCACGTTCCCAAACTTAGTCGACAAGAAAAACGTGTTTTGCTCGATCACCTTATGGGAATACTGCCTGAGGAGTCCCAGGCTGGAAGAGTGTCAATGATTCTTCTAGCACCAAATCGTGCATTCACAGCAAGTGCTCACTAAGAAAGCTGTGATTCCACTCTCGTAGGGCCATCACAGACCACAAGGGAGAGAGAGGCCCAGTGAAGGGAAGCATGGGTCCCTGAGGAGCGGCTGGAGGCACTGGGCAAGGCAGAGACCGGTGCTGTGGAGGGAGGCTTGCCCCACGGAGGGGTGTCTGACACTCTGACGCTCTGGGTCAGGGAAGAACTGCTGGTCTTTGGATGAAAGGTAAGTCTGAAGCAAACTGACAGGAAGCAACAAGCACTAGCGAGGACGTGCACCATCCTGCCCACTATGCAGTGATAGTGGAACGCTGCTCGGCATGGACTCTTCCACAGCTTGACAACTCTTGGCCCATGCCACGGAGAAGCTATCCTCCACGGCCTAATGGTGAAGGCCTTCGATGATGTAACCCCTCTCTTTTTCTGCCCCCTGCTGCTGGCTAGAAGTGGTAGCTGGAGACACCTCTCCGATCTGAAATGGAAGCAGTGATCCTGAAGGGGACAGAGCATCTCAGCTGTGGACAGAAGGGCCTGATCCTGTGTCACATATGGGCAGCTGAGGCAAGAGAGAAACGTCTTTCTCTTACATATGTCACTATTATTTGGGGTCTTGGTTGCAGCAGGTAAGCCTGTATTCTGACTGAAATACGCTATTTTTGTTTTGTTTTGTTTTGTTTTAAGATATTTTTTAAAGTAATCTATACCCACAACCTGGGTCTTGAACTCACCATCCTGAGATCAAGAGTCACACACTCTACCAACTGAGCCAACCAGGTGCCCCTGAAATACACACTGGCATTATTTCCTTCTTACAGATGAGAAAACTGAGGTTTAGGGTAGATGAGAAGCTGCCTGACATCATAGAGCTGAAAAAGGAGGATCCAGTTTTAAATCTGTACCTGTCTGACCCCTATGCCCTCTTTGCCCACCACACCCAGAGCTTCACTTCGAGGAGGTGCAGGTCATTCTCCACGAGAGGACGCACAAGTCAGGGAGGTCACCCTCAGGGTCCTTGCTGCAGGCCAGAGCCCCTGGACCCTGTCCTGGGGAGGGCAGAATCTGGGAGTCAGGTCAGGGGTAACCCTGACTAGTCAAGCCTAGTCACCATCTAGGTACGCAGGCGCAGAGCCCCCAGCAGGCTCCCTGGGCCCAGAGAGCTCCTTCCCTTCCTTGGCCAGTTGTCATCAGGGGAACCAGCTGGTCCGGGCACCACGCAGGGAAGTGTGGCAGGAAGGAGAAAGGAAGCAAGACGGAGGGCTGGGAAGGGAGGGGAGGCGCCCACAGAGCTGGAAACGCTGGACCTAATTTGGCAGTGAGCTATTTCAGGACTGCACCCTGGGGACCTCGGACCAGAGATACTGGGGGAGGGAGGGCAGTCTGGGTGTGTGAACGCTCTTGGTCCACAGCTCCTCAAGGAGCTGTCAGCTGCTCCTGGGCTGCCTCAGAAGAGACGAAGGAGGGAACTTGGCCTGCTAGCACTTGTGCTGGGTGACGTGAGCTCCCTGTCTGAGCCAGAAGGGCCTGTGGGCGTTGGTGGAAGTAACATGTTCATGCCATGTTTGCAGGAGCACACTGCAGCGCAAGGGCTCCCTGTCCATGGTTATTTGTTATCATAATTATGGAATTATCTCTAGTTTCCTGATGAGGAAACAGAGTCCAAGGGCAGGGGCTTGAGGGAATGAAGGCAGGCTCCAAGCCAGGCGGTGTGCCTGGAGGAGTCTGTGGTCCAGCGGGGCAATATGGCACAGGGTTTCATGTCAGATGGATGGTAGGCAGAACCAGAGTGAGGCCCAGTCCTTTCTTGGGACAGACTGTGTCCCTCTCTCTCCCTGGATCCCCACAGTAGCCTCTCTGCTCCTCTCCCTGGTGCCATTCTTGCCACCACCTATCCATTTTCCACCCGGGAGCCACAGGGGAAAACCTTCAGTGCCTTCCTTCTGAGCTAGGAACAAAGCCAAAATTCCTCGAGAAGCTCCTTTCGTCTGGCAGGCCCCCTGGCTCCTTCTTCAGCCTCATTTCTTACCCCTCTGCCCCCTCGACCTTTGGGCATCAGCCACACTGGCCTCCTTCCAGACCCATACACTTGGCCAGGACTCCTCACCTCAGGGCCTTTGTACATGCTATTCCATCTGCCTGCAATGTCCTGCCTCTTCTCTCGTGCTCATGTTTGCTTCACTTATGCCAGTCCCTGCAGCTCTTTGTCAGATACCTTGTCCTCTAGCACAGGCCAGAATGGGCCTGCAGCCAGGATGCTCTCGGCTCTTTAGAGGTCTAAGGAGTGTCCATATTTCCCCAGGCTGAGCTCTAGGACAGTAGCACTCCTGCCTGTTTCTGCTCACCACTGGGTGCCCGGGCTTGGCACACTGACAGCACAGACATAGCCACAACACACATTTCTCAAATGAATGGATGGGTGAATGAAAAAGAGATAGATGTGGGCACATAGGAGAGGGAGAAGACATTTGCACCTGCAGGGCCTGGGGAGGGGGTATGCTTTTGGAATGACGCTCACAGGGCCAAGGCAGCCCCAACATAAATGTATAAGCAGCTGCTGAGCACTGTGCTAATCACCCCACTGACTCTGGGATACCTGATGGGGTAACCCTTCCACTCATGAAGAAACACCTCATGTACTTCTCTGGCATCTAGAACTGTCTGCCTCTCCTCCTTCTCTCTGTGACCCTGCTTCTTCTCTCCTGTCTCTCCCTCTTTCGGCTTCTCTCTCAGGCCTTGCTGGGCTCCGGTTCAGGAGCTGATGCTCCTCAGGTCCCTCTTGCAAACCCAGCAAGAGGGCAGGGGCTGGAGTGCCTATCTCCCAGCCTGGAGTCAGAACCAGAACCAACAGGTCCCTTTTGCAGAGGTGAGGGGTGAGGCCCTCTCTTTGACCTGCAGTAGTTTCAGAGGCCTTGGCACTCACTCTTCACCCCAATTTTGAAACACTTGTCATGTCCAGGCTTCTAGTCCTGGCTCTTCACCAGACAAGCAGTGAAGTAGAGTTAAGAGGAAAATGAAAATGTTTATTGAACACTTTCCAGGTGCTAGGCACTTTGCTTAGCTCTTCATCTGCATTCTATCTTTTAACCAGAACAACCCTGTAAACATGTGGTACTATTATTCTCACTTTTTAGATGAGGAATCTGAGGGACACTGAGCCAGGTGACCAGCCTGCAGTCCAATGCAGTGAAAGGCAAAGCTAGGACTCAAGGTCATGTCTCTCTGACTCCAAGGCCCGGCTCTAGCCCCTGGTAAACTCTGGTCACAGTGAGTGGTTAAGGGATGGGCATGTGATCCAACAGGGCCACCGAGAGAGAGGGACTCCTCGGCCTTAGGGAGCTATTCAGGGAAGAGCCTATAAGGTGTGCCATGTCTCTGTATGTCCCATTTTGTGGAGCCCACAGTGAAGACCACACAATGGGACAGAGCGGGGAAATGAGGAAAAGCTAGGGATGTCATCAGAACTGCTGAATCAAGTCTCACCTGCAGCTGTACCTCTAGACTTAATCCCTGAGCCAGGTGATTTTTTTTCATAAGTCTGTTTGATGCTGCCTTCTATACTTGTGACCAAAAGAGTCCTAACTTGTCCAAAGAAGGGCCTTTGGCAGTGATACCGGACCACTGTCAGTTGCCTTGCAAGTAATACGAAGGAGGGGGAAACTGAGTAAAACATGTTGTGAAGCCACTCCCGCCCCCGTGTGTGGTACTACCTGCAAACCTCCTGCCCCTGCTTTAGCCCCCATCTCCAAATGAGCAGGGCCTCTGAGCTGGGTAGAGACCCAGATGCCACCTTGGCCATCCCCATCTGGCCTGTGACTCCTAGTCTCCTCCACATGGTGCTGCTGCCTCAACAATAACCCCTTTCTCTATCCCTGACACCTACCAATGAGTTGGATTTCAGCAAACAGGCTCCTCTGCGGTGTATTGGGTCACCAGGAAGGGACCACATGTTCACAAAGGGCTCAAATTTGGGTCTTGGAGCAAGGGAGGTAATTAATAGACCTAGTCAGGGAGAGACCTCTGTAGTAAAAGGTGACATCACTCATCACAAAGCCTTCCCCTATGATCTACCACAGATGGGACCACACAGCTGGCACTGCCCTGTGAATTAATGCATAAGTCTTGTAGCTGCTTTTTAGGTGGCACAACTATATGGCATTGTATTTGTGGTGGGTCCAAGGTATTAATTGCTAGGCATAGACATTTAAACTATACCACAATTTCATGATCTTGACTTGGGAATTCAATATGCCAGGAATCTCACAAAATTGGCACTGGCCAGGCAAGCCTCTCTGAGCCATTCTTTGCCATCTACAGAGGCGGGGAGGACTCCTTGTGAGCTCGCTAGCCCCTTTAAAACAATGATGCTGAGCCTGAAGAATGTATCAAGGATACCTCTACAAAGAAGAAGCTAGCAGTTCCCCCTGTAGGGTGGCCAAATAGACACGGGAAGGGCTGTAACATAGAGGGCCTCCTGGACACCCATGGGAAGGGCCATTAGTGGAGATCCTTGTCAATTCTGAGGCTCTGGAATGTTTATCAGAGCAGAGTAATTAGGGGCTTGCAGGGAGGAGGGGAGTAAGCTGGCGCAAGAGAGACACAGAGAGAAAGAGTGCGTGCAAGTGCAAGCATCATAGCCTGTGGCTTTCACTGACTGTTTACTGCATTTTGTTCCTGTGGGTTCTCCCATTTACGCTTTCTTTTCCTTTTCTTTCTTTTAAAATCCCAGGCCCCTTTCTACAAGCAATGAACATGTGAATGGACAAAGACTACAGAGGCCCAGCCTTAACACCGCTCTACTTGACATGGCACGGAAGGGACATTGGGGCCAGATGGGGGCCAGGGCTGGCTGTGGCCTCGGCCACACCTGAGGAGCCAGAAGTTGGGGTGCTGGGGAAGGGTGGGGCTGAGGGTGCCTGACTACTGTGCTCTGCCCGGGGAGTCTGCTCCAGGATCATCTGGATGGATGTTCTTCCCCCGGACTTCTGCCACCAGGTCTGCACTGCCAGAATTCACCTGCCACCAGCTGCTTTTTTGTCTTTGGTGCCACGGGGGACAACATCGACTTTCTTTTTTTTTTTATTTTTTTTATTTATGATAGTCACAGAGAGAGAGAGAGAGGCAGAGACACAGGCAGAGGGAGAAGCAGGCTCCACGCACCGGGAGCCTGACGTGGGATTCGATCCCGGGTCTCCAGGATCGCGCCCTGGGCCAAAGGCAGGCGCCAAACCGCTGCGTCACCCAGGGATCCCGAACATCGACTTTCTGAGCTACGGTGGTGCTATAGACTGGATGTTTGTGTCTCTGCCCCCCTGCAAATTCCTGTGTTGAAACCTAATCCCTGGTGTAATGATATTAGGAGGAGGGTCCGTGAGAGGTGATGAGCCCACAGAGCTCCCCGAGCCCTTCTGCCATGTGAGGACCCAGTGAGGAGACAGTTGTCCAGGAGCCAGGAAGTGGGTCTCATCTGCTGATCTGGGACTTCCCAAACTCCAAAATGGTGAGAAACACATTTTTGTTGTTTAAATCTACAGTACTGTTGTTATATCAGCCTGAGGAGACTAAGACAGTAGGACTAAGACCAAGGCAAAAACCAGAGAAGAAACTAAGCCCCACCTCTGCTACCACCTCGGAGTCCCCATCCCCCAGAGCACTCACTGTCACCCCAGGACTCTGCGCTGTGCCTCCCATCACCTCGGCGCACCCCTTTCATGGAGCTAATTCTCATGGCTGCCCTCAGGAGTAGTCCCCTGTGCTGTTCCCAAAATGCTCTCTGGCCTGTATGTCCCACTAGAATGGCCAAAAAGGCCAGTTTTGCTTTCTTCAGTTCTCCTACTGCTAGGCCAAGGTGGAGTCAGAAGTCAGGCTGCTCTGCTTCTTCTGCCTGCCTCTAGCCTCCTTGTGATGAGGTGTGTTTCCTGCCATCTTGGAACCAAAGCACCCAGAAAGCCACGGAGCGCCGACCTGGGCCCTGGGCCTGCACAGCCACCCAGCAGCCCTGGCTGTCCCTACTGCTGGGGAGGGGATTTTTCCCTCGCAGCCAAATACATGCTAACTTAAGTGAAACCTGGAGTGACTTGCTCAGGCACTTAGCATTTATAGTTAAGAGCACACAACTACCCGAAATCCAAAACGTAAAACACCTCCCTCACTCTGAGGGCAGTCTGTTCCAGGCTTCACCAAGAACAAGCTCAGGAACCGCGTTCGTACTTGACCAGGTGTCTTGGGGTCAAGGGCTTCAGAGCAGGACAAATGTGGGCTTTCTCCTGGTAGACTATTTTCTAAAAACTCAATCCCCAAAGCAGTTCCTTCAGAATGCCCTGGGGCAACATATGGAGCCCAGCCTCCTATAGGAATGTCCTTCATCCCTGGGCCTGGACCACAGTGCCCCTTGTCCACAGAGAGGACCCTGGGGTTCAGGGGGATCCTCTGTCAAAAAGCGAGACCCATGGTGTGTTCTCAACACTGGACTTACTAAGACGGGGGTGGCTTAGCATTTTGTCAACATTCAGGAAAAAGTTTTCGACAAAGTCCTTAGCAAACTCCAAAGCTCAGCCAAGAAACTTCATCTTTCCCTCAGCAGCATCTCTTCATTAAATGCCGATCATGTACAAAGTGGCTTGTTTGAGCTTGCTCTGGCTTCCCCACCATTTCTCTAAGATGCACAGCTGACAACAGGACAGAACCTAAGCAAGAGCAGTGCCCGCCCCCTGTGTGTTCTCAGGGCCCTGGCATATCCCTTTATTTAGCTCCCGCTGCCACCCTCTGCCCAGAAGGCCTGCCTGCCTCCTTCCCTTCACCTGCCTGTGCCTAAGCAACCTTTAAAACCTAGTGTAGTTGTCACCTTGCTTCAAGGCACAGGATCCCAATATTAATTCACCTGTTGTGAGCACCTACTGTGTGCCAGGCCCTGCTCTAGGAGTTTGTGCCTATTGACTCATGCAATTTTCAGCCTGCCCACTGAGATAGGTCAGTTACTACACCTCCATCATCATCACTTGCCTCACAGAGCTCATACTGTTGTGCTTCCAGGAAAATAAAAAGCGGTGACTACTCAAGTGTCTGCCTTGCCAGTGCCGCTTGGGGTCAGGGACTGAGTCTGACCCACCACTACATGCATAGCATACCTGCATGGACGAATAAATAGGGGAAAGCAGGAGGCTGCTCCAACCACCTTTGTTCTCAACAATGAGGAGGTGGAGGCATGAAAAGAAATGTGTTCCATATCGTTTGTTCCCTCCTCCATGGATGTGTCTGTCTCTGCAGGGCAGGGTGTGTCTGTCCTGTTAACAGGCATACCCCTAGCACCCAGCCCAGCAGTTGGCCCAAGGGCACACACATGTTGGATGAACAGAATCACTCATGAATTCGGCTATCCACTGATCCCCGCTCTGCACTGAACACAGTGATGTGGGAAATATGCAGACAGACATGCTCCAACCCTGGCCCAAGGTTCCAGTAGCCAGATCTGGGGTTCCTTATGGCAGGGCTTAGACAACAGGTGCCTGTCTTAGATCTGGAGCCTGGGGCCTCATCTGGCTTTTGGACCACAGGGAGGGGGCCGACCTGGCTGCATTTAGTCTGGCAGAGCTGGAAAGCCAGAGCTGCTTGAGGCCTCAGAAATCACAAAGTCTACCTTCTCATCCCAGGACATGATCTCTGCCCAAGTTTGGGAGCCCTTACATCTTTTTATCTTTGGATCAACTCTGCCATCCTACACATGGTCTGCCAAGAAGTAAGTGCTTGGTAAGTATTTGTGAGACTATTAACTGACCAACCAAATGAAGGAAAATGAGGCCCCACATTGGCTGGATCATCTGAGGCAGACTGGTCAGATGGAAAGAGAAGTGAACCATGATTCCGGGATCCTGGAGTCCTAGTCCTGGGTATGCCGTATTATCCCTTGAGTAAGTCCCTTTCCTGTTTGGGCCAGATGGGGCCTATTTTGCCGCATCTGCAAAATGGAACAGTAGACTTTAGATGGTCTCGAATGGAGGAGTTTCCAACTCTACCAATCTGCGCAGGCAAAAGGTCAGAGCAGGACTCGGCCTGGGCTGGTGTAGCTGGAGAGCCTGGGTATGCAGCATGTGATAGGTGTGCATGCTGCTGTCCAGCAGAAACTTGTTCCAGGCCTCAAGTATGGGCTCGGATGCACTTAGGCCTTTATCCGTCACCACCCCTGACCCCCATCAGATCTGACAACCACCACTGAGGTTTCTCCAGGCCCCGGGGGAACTCAGGCAGACACAGGCCGGAGAGCAGTCTTGTTTTTGCTCGTTTCAGAATTCATGCACACTACAGGGTGAATGTGCCACAATATTTCCTGGATTTAAAAAAAGTTCTGAGCTCCATGGTGTGACTTAAATGTCAATATTTCCTTTACCAGAGGAGATCCAATGACATTCTGGAAACCAAGTATGAAATGTGATTCAGCCTCCCCAAAGAGCTGCCATTATCTCGGGGGTGGGGGGCAGTTCTAATGAAGCCCCTTGGTGGAATAGAAGAGCACCTGGCAGCCATGCCAACCAGCACCAATCTTCAGTCCTGTTTAGGTCAACCACCTTGTGCAGCCAATTAAGTGCCTTGTGCCTCTGTTTCTAACACGCAAAATGCAGATAAAACTGTACCCACGCCTCACTAAGTTGCTGGGAAGATAATTCATCAAGATTTTATCAATAATTTTAAACAAAATAAAAGAGCAAGAGTTAGTATGTGTTGAGAACTTTCTATGCGTCAGGCACTATCCTGAGCACGTTGCAGCATTATCTCACTTAATGTTAGAGCAGATGAATGAAGAAGGTATTGGGATTATGCCCATTTTAAAGACACAAACACTGAGCACTGAGGAGGTTCAATAATTTACCCAGAGCCATAGAGCTGGTGGTATAGCTGGGATATGAACACAGTATCTAATACTTGTATCAGGCATTGTACTAAAGACCTATATTGTCCTCAAGGAGTTTATAATTTGATGAGAGAAATAAGCACATGTACAAATGGTGAACAAATGAAAATGAGAATATTTTCAACTGAACAATGCCTCCTGCAAGTTCAAGGCATTACTTCTTCTCACTGCCCTATTAGTTTACAATGTATGTTACACACGTGAGTATCCAGAAACATGCACATAAAGGTTACTCATATGTATTTGTGTGATAAAATCTATTAACAAGGGACTATTTCCCCATCCCCCCACTGGTCCAAGTGAACCTTCTAATCCTGTTATTGTCCGTTTTCCCCCAGCCTTTCTTCTAGCGTCTGGGTTCAGGCCAGTTTCACCAGACCAGTTTCTCCACTTTTGTGATGCAGATGAAGGCCCAAGGCTGAAAACAGAAGAAGCAGGAGGGGGAGAGCCCAGCTCCAAAGGTTAAGACAATTTACATGATAATGAGTGGGTGGGGGGGGAGCAGTGTGTGGAGGGAGGGAGGGGGAGAGAGTGAGAGAAAGGAGGTTGGGGGAAGGAGAGATGGAGGGAGGGGATGAGAGAGAACCTCTCACAGGCAGAGAGGAGAGGAAGGAGGAGGGAGACAAGAGGTGGGAGAGAGAAGGAGAAACAGGCCTAGAGAGGGAAAGCCTTGCAGGCTGGAGGGGGGGAGGTGCAGAGGAGTGTCTTGAGGATTAAGTAATTAATACCAGTTGTTTAAATCGGGCCCTGAAACATACTGACCGGAAGTCACTTATCATCACCTTTAATTCCTAAAGCTTCAGTTCTCTGATCCATCTGCTTGCTGATCACTCCCACCAGGCATAGCACCCTGGGCCCAGCCCAGCTCCACCTCCTGCTTGCTTCCAGACGGTTCACTTGCTCCCAATCTCTGGATCCTTACATTTCGGCCCTGATAGCCCATCCATTCCATCCCAGGCCCTCATCTGCCTCTCATCGCCACACATCACATTGCTGTGCTTCCTTTCCAACCCCATAGAGAACCGCACTCCGCCTGTGTATCATTCACTGTAGCTACCCAACCCTCCTCCCCACTTGCAGTCCTTCTCCCACCAGTCCCTCCACCTCCACACCACCATCATGAGAATCTCCTAAAAAACTCATTTTCATCCCA